TCAGAAAGCAAAGAAAATGTCCATTCTTTTGCTTTAGCTTTATAGGTCTTGCACAAGACTTAAATTCCATTGGCATAATTGATGGTTGGCCCTGTGAAGCATCTGTCTGACAACTCACCCTGCAGGTCTGGCTAATGCCATAGTCCAACAGGAAATATAAATTTTAATTCACACAAATATGAATCAGACCCCAAGCACTTCCCTTGCAACAATGATCTACAACAGTGGAAAATAACCACAGATGCATGATATTCACCTCAGAGATGAGCAGGCACCCTTCCTTTGGGACAAAGTAGTGGTTTAACTCTGTTACCTGTAGCTCAGTTTTACACTTGCCTTACCGTATCATAGTCACTGTGGGAATATCCAAACATAGGGAATTCTTCAATATCTTCCTGTGTCATATATTCCAATTCTTCCTTTGCAATCATCTCAAAAACTTGTCGGTAGACTGTAAAGAATCCCTTAAATAAACAAACAAACAAAGAAATAAACAAACAAACAAACAAACCCTTTGCATGGCACAATAATAGATGTACAAATGCTCATGTGCAGGGTATTTTAGAGAAACATTGCTACACTGCAAGAGCAACTCAAAACCAGGATAAAGGCCTTGTAAGCACTTGCTTGAGGTAATGAAGTTCCACTATCTCTCAAGGCTTTTATTTCCACCTTCCTCACACTATGTCTGTCTCTCTCACATGTGTAGTCAAATTTTAGAAGAAAGACAGTTTCCGTATACTGGATATAAGTTTCTATTATGCAGGATCAAGTTCTGTGGAAGCTCCAGACATAAAATTCACTATTAAATAGCCTATATTTTTTTAGATTAATATGTTACTAACTGACTACTAGTACAATAACAAAAGGGCAAGTAGGTATTTCTTCTGGTAGATGTTTTTTTCTAATCACCTGGAGCTTGATGTTTTTTTCTAATCACCTGGAGCTTTTCAATATATTAAATATAGTATTTTAAAATCCTATGGGAAATTCAAATAGGGAATTCAATTATAGCAAGCATGCCTTCCCCCAGAGGCAATTGTTACATTGCTTTTCTGTAATTTTCAGCATTCTAGCTTAATAAAGGTATTTCTAAATAAACAGATGGCATTGCAAAGCCCTGGAATGCTTCACTATATAAGATAAATAAACAATATGCACACGTGTAGTTGTACAGCATAGCAGGACATTTTGATTAAGTAACTGTTGGGCAATATACAAGAATTAAAGCCTCCTTATACATCTAGGTTAAGTTTTGTCTTCAGTTTGTGTAAGCTTTGCTAACAATTCTACATATAACTTTAACACAAAACAAATGCTAACACTTATAATGAAATTTCAGCTGATTAATTAAAGATTGATTCCTTACCTTTTCATCATCCCCATATCCAGAGTAACAGCTAACAGTGAAGTAGTGCAGCAGATCTAAGCTATCATCCTGATAGTCTCCATCAACTCCCCCTTTCAGCAGAGCCTCCCTGTGACTATCGTACCTAGAAAAAATTGACAGCATCAAAGATTACACAGAACACCCCTCCATGCTGATAAACTAACACAGTATGCCTATCACATCACTGTATCGCTTAAGCCACTGTCCATAGTTTGTCTCTCACATCCAAAGTCTTCAGACAGACGAAACAGGACAGACCCAGTAGATATTCCCTCTTGACCTTTACTTTACTTACTATTACTTTATCTGCAGTATCTATAGCAGTAATCCCTCAACAGCCAGCTACCAATCAATCACATTTGAGAAAGATGCCTCACCAAACTTCCAGAAAGGGCTAGGGTATTATTTAAATCACCCAATACTTGCAAGTACTCAAAAAAACCTCAAATCATACAAAAGCACATAAAAACTGAAAAACAGCCCTGTATTTTCAAGAACAAACTCCAGATAGGTGGGTTTGGCCATGTAATGTTGTGTTATTATTGTGTGATTAGTGTGTTATGCTTCAGCCTATGTGTTTTACAGAGAACATTCAGAATAGCGATCCCTTAGAGATGTGTATGTGTGTTATTTCAAATCAGAACTGATCATCTGTACGCAGTGCCCAAGTGCTGAGAGCTGACCAGAGCTGCTGTGAAAAGCAGCAGGAGGAGGGAGGAGAAAGCAGGCCAAGCCTGCTGCTGGCAGGGCGCTCCTCGGGGCCCAGCACGCCCTCAGCTCCCGGCACACCAAGGGGAAGGTGGGAGTGCGGAGCTGCGCCCCTCCACAGGGCTGCATGGCTCTAACTCTTGCCAAGCCTAAAACCAGCCGGCTGCCCCTGCCCACGGCTGTCCGCGCTGACTTGCAGCGAGGCCCAGGAGCAGCACAGGACGAGCCCTGGCACAGCCGGGGCTAATAAAGCCTCTGCCAGGCCAAGCGCCGCTCACCAGGCCCGTTCCTGTGGGTCGCTGAGCACGTCGTACGCCGCCTGGATCAACTTGAACTGTTCCGCTGCCTCCTCCGCGTTCTCGAGGTTTTTATCTGCAGGACAATTTAACGAAACCGTGTCAGCGGCGGTCAGGCTCGGCGGCAGCAGCCGCCCCGCCGCCCCCGGCACCGAGCCAGGCGGCAGCGCCGTGCCCCCGCGCCGCGTGGGGCCGGGCCGGGGCCGGGGCCGGGGCCGGGGCCGGGGCCGGGGCCGGGGCCGGGGCCGGGGCCGGGGCCGGGCCGGGGCCGGGGCCGGGCCGTACCCGGGTGCCAGCGCAGCGCCAGCCGGCGGTACGCCCGCTTCAGCTCCTCGTCGGCCGCGTCGCGCCGCACACCCAGCACCTCGTAGTGACACTTCATGGCGATGGCGGCGGCGGCCGCGGGGCGGGGACAGCGGGACGGCGGCACCGCCGGCCGCGCCGGGAGGGGCAGGCCGCGGCGGGAGGAGCGAGCCGGGGTGGGTGGGGGGACTGGCGGCGCGGAGCCGCCCGGCTGCCGGCGGCGCGGTGGGAGCGCTCCTCCGCGGCCGGATCGGGGCGTGCAGTCGCGGCGTGTGAGTTAACCGGATAGCTTGTGTGCAATCCGCAGAACCAATGAAGGTGGAAGAGATCTCCGAGATCATCGAGTCCTACCTGTGGCCCAACACCACCGTGTCACCCGGCTTTTCTTAAACACCTCCAGGGACCGTAACTCCACCATCTCTGGGCAGCCCATTCCAATGTCTAATCACCCTTTCTTGAAGAAATTGCTCCTAATGTCCAACGTTGACGTCCCCTGGCACAGCTTAAGGCTGTACCCTCTTGTCCTATTGCCAGTTGCCTCAGAGAAAAGTCTGACCCCAACCTGGCCAACCCTTCCTTTCAGGGAGCTGTAGAGTGCAATGAGGTCTCCCCTGAGCCTCCTCATTTTCAGGATAAATACCTCTGCTTCTCTTGAGACCTGTGCTCCAGGCTTTGTTGTGCTTCACAGCTTGGTTTCTTTCCCTTTTCTGAATTTGCTCCAGCACCTCAAAGTCATTCCTGAGCTGGAAAGCCCAGACCTGAACACAGGACTCAAGGTGTGACCTCACTAGAGCTGAGCACAGGGGAAGAACAGCTGGCCACACTATTTCTGAAATAGATATTTTGATTCTTGTGGGTGTTGAGGAGCTCAGAGGCACAGCCTCCACAGCACACATCCTCAGGGTAGCCTTTTTTATACCTATGCTCTTCAGAAATGTTAGGGTTGGTCCAAGTCGCTTTCCTTCTCTAGGTCAGGTGTGTATCAGTGTACACAAACTGAGCTTTGGATCAGACAGCAAGATCTGGAGGCCCTGATCTCACAGTAAAATCTGGAGGTCCCAACTCAGTGTTTAATCCAAATATGGCAAATTGAACACAAGCCAGCAGTGCCCTGGCAGCCAGGAGGGCCAACCCTGTCCTGGGGGCATCAGGCACAGCATCAGCAGCCAGGAAGGGAGGGGATTGTCCTGCTCTGCTCTGCACTGGGGCCTCACCTCAAGTGCTGGGGGCAGTTTTGGGACACCTCAACGTAAGGATATAAAGCTGGAGTTTATTTGAGCTATTGGAGTTTATCAGGAGGAGGGCAGCTGAGATGGAGAGGACCAGGGTGCAGGACTTGGGAGCAGCTGAGGTCACATGGCTTGTCCAGCTTGGAGAGGAGGCTGAGGGGGGACCTCCCGCCCTCCAGGAGGTTTTGGCTGGAAGAGTCATCACAGTAGCTGTGCTTTGGATTTGTGCTGAAAACACAAACGTGTTGACAGTAACAGAAATGCTTTGCATTATTGCTGAGCAATGCTCAGACTCACAGCTGTTTTAGCTTCTTACCCCACCTGCCAGAGAGGGGTGCATAAGAAACTGAGAGGGGACACAGGGCAGGTCACTCCAGCTGACTGCTGGGCTATCCTACGCAACATGGCACCATGCTCAAACATACAAAGCTGGTGCAAGAGGCGGGGGGATATTCAGAGTGACACACATTTTTCTTCCTGAGTCACTGCTACATGTGACAGAACCCAGCTTTTCTGGGAGGTGAATACCTGCCTCCCCACAGGACATAGGAAATTCCTTGTTTTGTTTTGCTTCTCTGCAGGGCTTTTGCTTTACAAAAAGCTTCCATTTTTGCTAAACAGTCTTCATCCCAACTCACAGCTTTTCATTTCTACCCTTCCAATTCTCTTCCCCACCTTATGAAGGGAGAGTGAGCAGGCAGCTCTCTGGGGCTGAGCTGCCAGCTGGGGTTAAATGACAGTGTCGGGGAACTTCCAGTTGGACACCAAGGCTCTTTACACATAGGCTGGTCAGTTCCCAGGGAAGTGGCATGGCACCAAGCCTGTCAAGAGTTAAAGAGGGTCTGCATGATGGCATTAGTCATATGGCTTAGTGTTACACAGTTCTGCAAGGAGCTCAGTTGGACTCAATTATACTGATGGAGGTCCTTTCCAACTCGACTGTGTCTGCGTATTAGATTATGTGAACTTTCTTTCCAGTCATATGGCACGCAGACCATTTTGCTGCAGAAGTTATATGGGATTTCTCTCACCCCGCTAGGTGGGATGATACTTAGAACTTAACAGGTCAGCTTCCTCTCAAACCAGTTGTGTATTTTCAGCTTTAAGATGCTGGAAATTGAAACAGAGACACAAGCAAGACTTTGAACAGAAAGTCAAACAGAAACAGGGCACAAGCAAGACTTCGAAACACAAGAAAGCCTGGGGGAGTGTAGAACTGAAAGAGGAAGAACTAGGTCATGAGGTCAGGAACTCTGAACTAAAGGTATGTAATAAATAACCCCAGAGAAGTTGTCCAGATGACCCATCCCTGGAAGTGTTCAAGGCCAGGTTGAATGGGATGCCATGTTTTTTCTCAAAACTCAGAATCCCAGAATACAATAAAAGAATGCAAACTCCATCTTTATAAAGAAATGTGTGTTTTGCTCATTTAAAACTGAAGCTCAGACATGTTTGTCTGTACAATGTGAATCCAAATATTTACGATATTTGGTTGATATTGTATGAAGTTTCATTCCTTATAGTATCTACGCAGATCCTTCAGTTCTGAACAGCTTTTTTTGCTTCTTCCTCTGAATTTTGCGAAGCTTCTTCTTATCTTTAACAATTGGCTTTGATTCTGGTTTCACAAGCTGTATTTCCACTGGCTTTTCTTCAGCTGGAGTTTCAAAGACTACTTCAGTAGGATCTTCTTCAACAAGGACCTTAGTCCCTTTTTTCTTAATCATTTGCACTTCTTTCACTTGCTGCTTCTCTCTAAACTTAGCTGCCACTGACAATCTCACCAGCCGGCGATGCTATAAAAGTAAGAATTTAAATTTCATCATGTTTCAAATAAGCATGATGGAAGAAATCTGGTATTAAAGAAACTGATTTCTTTAATGCTAATTTCTCTGCTTAATGGCCAAGACCCTCAGTGTAATGTCATCTTTTCAGTGACATGACTTCTGCATTCACTCCATGATTACAAAACTACTCTGCTCTCAAACTGTCACCAGTTTAGGGCACTACAAAGGGTCCTGGGGAAAGGCATAGTTGATGCTCCTGCACAGACTGACTGCAAGGCTGATTTTCAAATTAGTTGCTAAATGAAGGAGAAAACAAAAACAGAGCTGCTTACCATATTTGGGGACTGGTAATGAGGATTTTCATATAGAGTTGGTCCTCCAAAGCTACCTTGGAAGATTTTTATAAGGTTCAGGACAAAACGAGGCCCAATTTCTACTAGAGATGCATCTTCTTCTATTATCTGCAATAAAAAGAAAACTTTCTCCATTTCTCACAGATTGAATCAAAGCATATGACCTTGCAGGCACCTTGCACATAGCAATACACAACTGAATTTAAATTCAAGATAATTAGCTAGATTTGTATAAACCCAGTCCTGTACATAAAGCAGTTCCTTGAAATTCAAGCAAGCTTTTGGAGTACTCTGTATTTGTGAATTCCTTATACAGAAAATAAGCTCTTGATCGCTTTGGGTCAAAGCAGCCATTTTGCTTAAGGCATAGTTTAGGCCTTGGGTAGTATGTCCTGCTACCAAGACATCCCTCACAGAATCACAAATCAATGAATACTGGTGAATGTTCAGTGAACCAGATCTCTCCAGGCATATGGAAGAAGTCATTACAGGACACTCAATCTGCAAGCACTAGGGGCTGGCATATCCTGCTAACAATAATGATTCTTATTTTATTTAATGGATGTGATATGAAGTTACTCTGCTGACCTCCTTTAGAAGAGCTAGGAGAGACCACTCACCTGATAATTGCGAAACCAGATCCTTTCATCAGTGACAGTGAAGGTGAAAACATGGTCAACAAAAGGCTGGCTTTTGGGGTGGTACTGTGGTGTACCAAATATCTGTAATAAAAGGCAGTATTTCTGAACATCTGCAATTTAAGAAGTCATACATAGCTCGTCTTAAACTCCTTTTAATTTACTAAGTTCCCAAACCAAGGTTACACTTCATAACCCAAAACTTATGAATAAGTGTCTGAGTTGTGCTAAGAATGATCCCAATCCTTTGTGATCTTTTCAAAGTTCAGAAGTATAAAACTGCTACTTGAAAAAAAACCACTTGTGATTCTTAAGTATGTTGCCAAGAAAACATTTCCAGTGAAGAAACACTACAACTACAGACTGACCTGAATAAACAATTCTTTTAGCAGGGCATAGTGTGGCTCTCGGTCGAATAGCTACAAAAACAAAAATATTATTTTACATACAAGGCTAAATGCAATAGTCATGCAAAAAGAGTAAGAACACACCCAAATGAAATAAAGCCTATACTTACTGGATCAAAAGACAAAAGGGGTCTTGAGCCCCTTAGGCAATTTCCTGTCATCTTCAATTCAGCCAGTGTGTGAACTACAGTGATTAAAAAAAAAAGTTATTACACACAGAAAATTTTTCGGACACAACAGCAAAAATACAAACACAGTAATGTCCACCAGCTTACCATTCTGCACCAAGAATTTAGCAGATGGTCCCTGTGGCGTGTTTGAAAGCCTTCAGAGGACAAGCGGTGGGGAACAGAGAAACAAAAATGTTAACAGCAGCCAGAATTTATGTTAACAGCCAGATAGATTTCCACACTACACCCCAACCAGTTATTCCTGCATTCAAGTAGTTTCTGCTACTTTTACAGCTGTACTGTAATGTGTATGTATGCTCATAAAAACTTGTTTTCTAAACAATTTTGTAAAATGCTTCTGCAAACAATGTCCAAAGCTGTTCACTGTAAATTTCCACAATCCACAGAAGTACAATATTAGAACAAATTTAACTAAGCAGCCGTATTTCATGCATCTTCACTGTTAGAGTCGGAAACTTCAGATAGAATTGCAGCTATAAATAGAAATGTAACAAAGCAACATTTCCTTACCACATGTAGAGATCCTGTTTCTTTTTAGCTTCAAAAAAGATGCACTTATTGCAGTTTTTCATTTCACACACCTACACAAGACATATCAAATTAGTGCTTACAAACATCCTGAAGACATTTTTGATAACTTTCCACATTCATCTCTAACATTTTCTCCTTCTCCAAAATGGAAGTACAAAATAATATTGTCTTATTAAATGACATCTACTGACACCCAAAATTTGGTTTGGCTTTCTTTTTACATTTCACATACTTACTACAAGGAGTAATAACCTCCTTAAAGCTACAAACAATTTGATAATCCTATCCAGGATACAAACACAATAGCATTAGGTTCTAGCTTGAGAACTGTCAATATCCTACTATATTTGGGCTGGTGGCATATATATGTCCTGCACTGTTCAAGCATAAGCTGTACTACACTTCTCACCTACACAAAAAGCACATTATGCTAAATTTCTTCATGAATAAAATCTGTATCTAATTAAAAGTTTCATTCTGGTTTTATTAACCAAAAGTCAACTTTTGGCTTTTTGGGTATCAATAATTTTCACCACTGAAGTTACACTTTGAAATCGGTTGCCCCTTTCCCTTGCATACTGAATTTCCATATAAAATAAAATAAAATAAAATAAAATGAAGAAGCACCAAGACAAATACTGAATTACCTCATTGATTACAAATAATTGGTCTTTACGGTCCATTTTAGTATCTGGAAGACAAAACCAACATTTACAAGGGTGGAAAACCAATTTAATACAAGAGATTCTTTGAACAGTCAGATGTTTTACAAAAATTGTACTAGTTTATAAATGAAAGGGTAATTACCAAGTTGTTCCTGTCACGTTATAGAACAAATAGACATAGCAACAAAACTAACTGTGCAGGTTCAGACTGAGACCATAGGATTCACTTCTCAGAAAATACTATGGTACAACAATTGCAATACTTGTTGGCTCAAAGGGTGTTTGTTTAAGATACAAGCTTCAGCAAAACTCTTCTGTACCCCATTTTAAAAAAATAAAAGAACAGATCATTTAGAGCTTTTAGCTTTAAAGTAGTGTCAAAATATAAGTTAGGAATGATGCTCAAACCCCACCTGCTTTAGAGTGAGGCATCAATGTCCTTAAGTCCTGCATTAGGTGTCTTGTTCTGAAATTAATTCCACGAGAGGAGAATATCAGCACTCGCTCCTTGTTCTTCCATTTGCCCTAGGAAAAAAAGGCACAATAGTCACGTGGGAAGCTTCTAGCCTTAATAATGTCATAACGCAGCAAAATAAAAGTTTGGACAGTCAATACAGAAAGACACAGCAAGAACCTTGGTTTTGATCTGCCCACGCAGACAGGAACCATGCTCTCTTTAAGAGTGAACTTCCCTACAGCACAGGGGGCACTGCTTTTACAGGAGGAACCGTCCTCATCCTGATCCACGGCGTGCTCCCAGGCACATCCTTTCACTCCCATCCAACTATTAAAAAGCCACACGTGCATCGCTTATTTTCCTGCAAAATGGGCTCAGGGACAGCCCCAGAGCACAGCCCAGCTTCTCCTGTCGACGGGCGTATTGTGAAATCTTTGTGTTTACGCGCAGTATTCCACGTTTTTCCTACAAGCAAACAATTACGGAAACCTTCTCTGTATGATTCCTAAACGGAACAAGTACAGTTTCCATACAGCTTCAGTATACAACAGAATTACCCAATTCTTTCAAATACTTTTGAGACTGAGGTAACACATCTTACCGACATGGACCAGGCTAACGCTTCTCGCGTACAGAAAAAAACGCGCCACCACGTGTACTGTTAGTTGTGATGGTATTATAAGAGATTACGAATAACCCTCCCTGTCACGGCTTGGCCGCGTTCCCTCAGGCCCCCCGAGCCCGGGCCGAGCGGCGGTACCTGGGACACGGGCGGCGGGATGCGGTATTCCTGCGGCGGGATGCGGTTTTCCTGCGGCGGGATGCGGTATTCCTGCGGCGGGGCGCTGCGCTCCCCAGGGCCGCCCCCCGGCGCCGCCTCGCCCGCGCTCGGGGCGCTCCTGGCGCGCTTCGCCTTCCCCCCGGCCGGCGCTCCACGTTGTCTCTTGGCCGCCATCTGTCCCCACGCCATATCTCGCCGGTGTCCGCCCACTCCGCTTCCTGTGTCGCGTTTCCTGTGCTCCCGCCTTCCCGGTGCCGCTCTCCGCCCCCCGTGCTGCCGCCTCCCCGGGCCCGGCCATGCCGTTCTCGGCACAGCCGCCCGCCAGCGGCGAGCGCTGCGCGCTGTCCGCCAGCCTGGACAATGCCCGGCACCTGTCCAGCCTCCTGCGGGCCGTGCACTTCCAGGACTACGCCACCTGCCTCGCCACGGCCAGCGGGCTGCGCGTGACCGTGGAGGATGCCAAGTGTATCCAGGCCAACGCCTTCATCCAGGTACGGGGACACCGGCGACGGGGAGGGCGCGGCTGCCGCAGCCCGGGAGGACAAGGAGTCTCTGGATAGGGTCCGCCGGAGGCTGCAAAGGTGATTAAAGGACCGGAGCATCTCTGTTGTGAGGAGAGCTGGGTCTATTTAGTCTGGAAAAGAGCGGACTGAGAGTCTCACCAATGCATATAAATATCTCAAAGATGGGTGCCAAGAAGATGCTGCCGGACTCCTTTTTGTGGTGACCAGTGGCAGGAAGGAGAGCAATGGGCATAAAGTAAACCACCACCAAGTTTCACCTCAACACCAGGAAGAACTTCTTTACAGTTAGGGCGGTAGAGCACTGGAACAGAATGCCAGGGAGGTATTGGAGTTTCCCTCTCTGGAAATATTCAAACCCTGCCTGGATGTGTGCCGTGTCACTTCCTCCAGGTGACTCTGCCTTGACAGAGGGTTTGGACTGGATAATCTTTAGAGGTCCCTTAACCCTAACAATTCCATGTGCTCACCTGTGGAAAAGGGGAGACGTTGCTGGAACCGAGGCAGAGGTGCCTGGCTGTAGGAAGGACCGTGGTGAGTCTGCCCCTGTTTGTGGGTGTCCATGCTGCTGGAATTCCAAACCCGGCACCAGTACATCCCTGAACACGTAACAGTGTAGTGGGTTTGCGCCCTCATCTAATATATTGGTGCCTGCCAAACTCATGCTCCTTCTGGTTGTGCTGTTCTTAGTTGCACAAGCAAGTGCTCACCGTACCTCTCTTTTTATAGCTCATCCCAAAGCTAAAAGATTGGATTTTTGTCAACTGTGAAAGAGTACAGATTCACAGACACTTGATTGAAGATGGTTGTGCTGTGTTCAAAGCACCTCAGGCTGCAGTTTTCTCTCTGGGCAGCCAGGAGAATATGAAATTACTTTTCCAAAAGCACCTCATGCCACCTTGCTTTATTTCTGAGATACTCTGTTCTCGTAGGTGCAGACAGCACAGCATAGAGCAGTTTATCCCCATCAGGCTAGTCAAAGGCAGGATTCAGCACATATTTCAGAGTGGTGAAGTCACTGTTCTGTTCTTAAGTACTAGTATTTGGAATGTTTATTCATGCTCTGAGCATAAAAAATATGAGTATTGTCACTGTAGAAATGTGACACATTGTACAGTTCCATGAATATTTCTAGCTCCAGAAGTAAGCAGCTCTAGGTTTTACCATTTGTAGGTTGTACTTAAACCATAAGAGACAAGTATTTAGGTTTCACGTTTATGCCATTTTACCTTGTTTCAAATGTAGTTTGGTTGTGTTTTCCTAGTTTTGAGGATGAAGCCCCATTTTTCTACAATCAATGTTGTGTTGCATGTAGAAATCATTTTGTGTTGTACTGATTTCTGGATGGGAAATCCTGAAGTTTAAGCTGTAAAATAATTGCAGAAACTCCCAACTTTTAATATTTTTGCTTTAATTTACAGGCAGAAATTTTTCAGGAATTCTCTGTTCAGGAGGAATCAGTGATGTTCCGGATCAGTTTGTCAGTTCTTCTGGACTGCCTCACCATTTTTGGATCCAGCTCCTTGCCAGGTGTGGTATATTTCCATGAATCCACAGAAGGTTGTGCTGGCACTGCAGGATGTGTATTCACATGGCATGGAGTGATACCATGGCAGCTTTCTGGACAGTTCTGCTCTTGCAGCTCTGTGTTGTACTCCTCACTCCCCTGCAGTTTTGGTTGTGGATGACCTAAAGATCCAAATCGAGTGTGCTAAAGAGCACTGTGGTTTTAGGAAACCGGAGGTTCAGGTGGTGATAACCTGCAACAAGAGGGTGTGACTGCAGCACAAGCTCAGCTGCTTTAACTTCAGTTTAGGTTGCACAAGTAACAAGAGTAGTAAGGAAAGATGATGTGAGCCAGAGAACCACAGGGCCATGAGGATTTTCCAATTCCTCTAAACTGTTTGTAGTGCGTCTTAATTGTCAGAGCTGGTGGGTGAAATTATTTGGCTTTAAGTTGTCTACACACAAGTAATTTAATTTTACTGCATACCCATTAGCATTTCAGAGGGTATCTAGGAGGCAGCACTAAAATTGATCTGTGGCCTGTGTGCCAGAAAAATGTGAGTTTTCTAAAGTGATCGAATGTTCTTGCTATGGTCTCTGCAGAATGTATGTTTTACTCTCTTTTTCAGGAGCATCAACGGCCCTTAGAATGTGTTATCGTGGTTATGGCTATCCACTGATGCTGTTCTTGGAAGAAGGAGGAGTAGTAACAGTATGCAAAATCAACACTCAAGAGCCTGAGGAATTGTTAGATTTTGATTTCTGCAGTACAAAGGTTGTTAATAAAATTATCCTGCAGTCAGAGGGACTACGAGAAGCATTTGCTGAACTGGATATGACCAGTGAAGTTCTGCAGATTACCATGTCTCCAGATAAACCCTACTTCAGGTACTAAAAATGGCTTTCAACTCAAATGTTTGTGCTTGGCTGCCTTTGGTGAGGAGTGGAAATTTTCATGGTGGAGAGAGGGGAGCTATTTTAGAATACCAGTTCATTTCAGGAAGAATTATAATGAGTATAGTAAATCAGTATGTTCTCTAATTAACATAGTAATGAGTATTTTGACAGCCTGGTAAATGTGACACTGGTGTGGACAGTTGAGCATTTTTGATTGAATAAAGTGAAACAAACAGCAGAGTTTGGTAAAACAGTCATGGGATACGTACAGTGACTCATTTTAATGAGTTTTTACAGAGTTCTCATCAGGCGTTTTGAGATCGTGCTTTTTGTCTTCCAGGTTATCCACTTTTGGAAATGCTGGAAGTGCACATCTAGACTACCCTAGGGACTCTGATTTGATGGAAGCATTCCACTGTAACCAGACCCAGACAAACAGGTTAGAAAGTGATTGATGCTCTCTATGCCAGGTCATACGTTCTTGACGGGAAGTTTAAGAACTGCCTTTGCATTTCTGTAACATTTATTTTATTAGTATGGGGGGCAAAAATACTCCCTGTCTGATAAAAGGCTGTGTCTGCAATCAAAAGCTAAGTGATGACAATGAGAGTTCAATGTTGTTATCAGGTAAAGACCAAATAAGTGTGTTCCTTACTGTTTTTTGTTTATTCTGGGTCTTTATTCATGATTCATGTTGCAGCTCCTCTTTGCACAATGTATTTTTTTCATGTTACTGAAATAATCTATAATAGTAGTATTTTCTTCTGCAGGTACAAGATTTCTTTGCTTAAACCATCCACAAAGGCACTGGCTTTGTCTTGTAAAGTGTCCATTCGAACAGATGCTCAAGGATTTCTTTCACTGCAGTATATGATTAGGAATGAAGACGGACAGATCTGTTTTGTGGAATACTACTGTTGCCCTGATGAGGACATCACTGAGGCAGAACTCTAGGTGTGTGTACTGGTGTATCTAATATATTTTTGTTTATATAAAATATTATATTTTTTACAAAACTTAATGAAAGATGTAGATTTTGATAGTGTTAATATTGTCTTTATTTTTTAACTCTGGAATAAGAAAGCTAAAAACTTTCATTTTCTTGCACTGTGAACATTTCTTAGCCTTGACTCAAACTGAAGCTGAAAAAGCAGAAAGGGGAGTTGTCCCATAGACACTGCTTCCAATACAGATGTTAAAGTACTGTTTGTGCAATACATTGATGCTATTTGCAATGCTCTCCCAATAATTTTTGTTTGTGTTATGTTTTTTGTCTTTGACTTCAAGTAAGCAATTACACAGGGGAAAATCTGAATACTAGTTGTATATTAGCCAGTTAACTTTCAGTGACTTAAAACCAAATTTGTCTTGAAAGAGGACAACATTTTCAAACGGATCTCATAATAGCAGCAGGTGGTTTCTTGCTGGCAAATGCTGACATGTTTTGTCAGTGAAGCCACTAGGCTTCTCATCTTGATTAATTCTTAATATAACTCAGTTCCTTGGAATTCTGCCTGACACCAATTTACCATTTTGTCTGCAAACTGATATTGAATTGGTAAATTGATATAGAAGCCAGGATTTACTTACTCATTACTCACAACTGTTCTGGCAACGTCATTGTTTTGGATCAATAGTTTCAAGAATGCTGCAGCTGAACTGTTTCTGTGTATTCATGTCCCTGTTCCTCCTCTCCTGCTCCCTACTGGTGGTGTTAAGAATCATAAGAGAGAAAAGTTTCATTTTGAAAAATTTTTATGAAATTAGTTTGCCTTCTCAGTAGCCTTTTTCAGCAATAGGAGTCACTGCTAAACTGCAGCAGGGGAGTATCTGCCTGGATCCCATGGAGTGGTGTATTCAAGTCAATGCTAAAAATGGGGCTGACCTCACGCTCACTGAAAAGAGTGTGGTTCCTGGGCAGCTTTCTGCAGTGTCCCACCTCCAGAACAGCAGATGGGTTGTGTTTAGGTCAAAAGTCCACGTGGCCTTGCACACCAACCAACCTGCTCAGAACGGGAAGTACCTGGGAGCAGCCAGGCACTGGACTGGATGCAGACTCTGCAAATCACACACAGTGCCTCCCTCTCTGCTGTGGGATGTGATCAGAGAGTCAGCAATCTGCAGGTGGTTTCTACAGCTTTAGACTCTGGTCAAGTTTTGTTGTCTGTCAGATGAGGTCTTGCTTTGTTTTCTATGGAAAACAGTGTGTTCATATGTTACCAAGTTGATTGCTCCACAGTTCGACAGAATCCTTTGGGTTTATTT